AATAGGTAATCAAATGATTAGGGAAAAAGGCTCGGGAAATTATTAGGATTTGGACAAAACGCGCGTGAAATTATTCCCTAATTTCACTCGTCACCATTTGATTACACATACTAATTTCCAAATTTTGTTCATTTGATTTTTACTTCTACTTTCGTTTCCTTTCTCCTCTCTTTTTTTCATCAACAGGATGCACTACCTTCAGAGCAATGCTGTACAGTATTACGGGATATAACCAATTGTCCCTGGAGAGGATGAGGAAATCCTTGACTGCATCAATTTTATTTCGAACTTGACTAAAGGACAGCAATTCCTTTCAATTAACAAAAGAACTTCTTTAAACCCCTCCACTGCTACCCTGCGAGCAGAAGTTTCTCTCTCGCATGGCTTTTAGCGTTAACGAAGTCGTTCGCGTGGCTTGTCTGTCGCGTAGTTGGTTTGTTTTATACGGCGTAAACAAACCAACTACGCGACAGACAAGACCCGCGAATGACTTCGTAAACGCTAAAAGCCATGCGAGAGAGAAACTTCTGCTCGCAGGGTACCTCACTGCCAAAATTAACCAAAATCAAAGTTCAACAACAATTTCTCCCTTTTTTAAAAGTTGAAAAACAAATAGTGCCATGTCAAAGTACTGGCAAAGAGGTTTTATTTGAATGGTCATACCATGAGATTTCTTCCACTCACTCATTAGTTAGAACAACCTTATAAGACTCCATATAGCTCACTTCGAAAAAGAGTGATAGCCTGGGACCCAAACTAAGCGCGCGCTCATTAATGGGATTGTTTGGGGGACAAGTCGAGCAGCCGCCTTGAATTATGACGAGACGTGCAAGTTGTTGTGTTTTTTGTGCACGAATAACTTCAGAAACTTCCCGGTCCGCGCGTGCTTACCTTTTTATGAGCTGCGTTTTCTTTCCGGTTGTTTTGGCTCCACGGCAAAGAAGCCATCTCTGAGGCTGTTTCACGGTGCATTCTTCTGGTTTTTCTCGAGCTAAAATCGCCCCAGGCACATCTTTTCCCTTCAGATTCACATTTTCATGTTTTTTTTCTTTCAATTCCACCTTCCGTTTTGCTATTTTGAGCTGCTTTAACCCCGCTGAAACATTCCACCTCGGTTTCCGCCATGTTTGTTTACATTCGCTTCGCCCCTCCCCCAAATAATCCCATAAATGCGCGCGCAGTTTGGGTCCCAGGCTATGACTCTTTTTTGAAGTGAGCTATTTCACTCTGGTAGTGAAAGGATTAAAATGTTCCCACAGAAAAATGAGTGCAAACATTTCTCCTTCGAAGCGTTTAACTGCTTACTCTAATCGCCACCTTATTAAATATTGCTGTATTAAATACTTGAGTCGATAGCGAAAACCAAGAAAAACGTTCATATCGAGCTCTTCACATTTGTGCTGTCATTTACAGTCAAACCAGGTCAAGCGTTCCCGTCGCTAACAAACTAATGAATTCATTAATGGAAATATGATTTGGTTTGTTGATTCAATAATCCATTCATAAAATGAATAATCCAACGGTCAAATTGTACCTCGATTCAATAATCAAATGTTGATTTGGTTTATGAACAAAATCTACCTGTTCTTTATTCTTGTCTGTTGTGTTCAATCGTATTTGCTTCCCTTTTCCTGCCGTTTACGATTGCGTTTTTCATTGCCTTTAATCAAAATAACAGCTAGAATAGACAGACCGCAAACGCAAAGAAACTGACAAAGGCCGAGGATCGAAATCCACCAATCACCGCACATACACTGACCTCAGTTTGACCGTCGTGTTTTCTAAGAGGTCAGGCCTAGGTCTGTTGCACTGATTATTGGCAGCAAACTGGCGTACATGTAACAGTTTGTTTGGGTTTGAACCTCAGAACTCGCCAGCACTCGACTCTCAGAAAAAAAAGAGGAAAAAACAAAATTCTGAGGTCAACTTGTGGAAAGTGTAATTTTTCAAAAAACAGTAATCGAATCAGCATTCGATTATGGAATCGAGGCTAAATATGACTACTGGATTGTTCATTTTATGAATGGATTATTGAATCAACAAACGAAATCATTTTTCCGTGAATGAATTCATTAGTTCGTTAGCGACGGGAACGCTTGACCTGGTTTGACTGTAAGTGTATTTACTCAATTAGCCTTTCCACGGCGAGTTAGTGATGTTGAGCAGTGCACTTCACTGCACTGTGGTATATTGTCCTGCAGCGTGAACAAAGAAAGATTTTAAATCATGAGCAAGTGGTTCGTGCAGCCTGCGAAGACAGCCGTCTCTTTTCGCTTCTCGCCGCTCGGGAAGTTTCGTCAAGAGGGACGTCTACGCCTTAGCCTTGTTGCAAACCTTATATAACCCTGGTTTGTAACATCCGCAAAAAAGCGCTGATATCCTTGTTCTGGAACCCCAACGGACTCAACGAATGACCGGAAATGCGTTTCGAGTTTCCCTTCGAACTGATTGACAAATCGACAATGACATTTTTAACAGTCCAATCATGGCGCGTACTCAAATCCTGTAACATGAAATGGGACCATTTCGAAATTTTGGCTAGAGGACGGTCGGACACCTATTGCAAGATAAAGGAGACTGCTAATTAGGGTTTTAGAACCTTCGCTAAACGAAATGTCATCAGTGACGTTTTTTAGTTTGCATGCTTTTTCTTCTACATGTAAATGTTCCTACCATGTGTCATCTTTTGTTTCTTTAGTTAGTTACTTATGCTACATTTAAATTTCCGTTGTTTTTCAAAAGTTTATTACTTCTGAAGATTCACGTTGGAACATACGAAACGTCAAGTTAAATTCTTTGTTTTTTCCAAAAATGCGTCTATTCCCTAATGTTTATCACCGCGGTTTGCTTTTTGTTTCATTTTGAAAACTTGTTTGGCTAACAGGTTGTCAAAGTTCGTTTGTTTTGTTTGTAATGTTTGATATAATGCTTAGGATACATGATTTATTTCACATGAAATAGTCTGTTCCAGGCTCCATGATAGTAGGGAACGCGCATCAAGTAAACTTGCGCGAAAACCGATCGAGGCTGGGGAGGAACAGGTAGGTAGAGCCTGTAAGTATACAGCTATTTCGGGAAAGGTTGTCGGAAAAAGTGCACGCGACAAACCCGAAAGGTATTTTGGGTGGTTTTGAGTTCACTGTTGTTCAAAAGAAGGGCACGAGAGGCCATGGACGTATGTTTGCGAGTGCTAAAGGAAAGCAACAAAAGTAGGTTCCACAGCTACAGTGTCAGGAACAGTGTATTGATCATATCCCATATTACCTTTCGGGATTGTCGCGTGCACATGTTTTCCGACAACCTTTCTCGAAATAGCTGTATATTATGGTCGCTTTCCATTCAACCAAAACTTTCGAAAAAGCGGTAAATGGTACAGAAATTTCCCGGAAAAGTTTCCAGAAATTCCGGAAACTGTAAAATTTCCGAAATGCGAACCATTCAGTTGCAAATTCTAGAAATTCCGAGAGCAAAGTTGAATGGAAAGAAAGCTACCGGAAAGAATTTTCGAAAATTTGGGTATTCCTCACGAGGTTGTGCTCTGTGTTGGAAATTTTTGAAAATGCTGTTCCATTTGCTACTGGAAATTGCCGAAAATTCAAGCCGGACGTTTTCGTCGAATGGAAAGCGCCCATTGTTTTCAAAATCTCATTCTGATAAACCAGCTCCTGGTACAGAGTGTTTTCACATGACGTCACGGCGGCCATATTGGTGTCCCAAGACAATGAAACGGCGGCCATGTTGGTGTCCCAAACCAGTCCTGTGGGAGTTGAACTATGTTCTTATGCAAACTCTTTCTTCTGTTCCAATAAATTTGCATAGATGCTGGCCACGTGAGTGGAAACACTCTATACCCTATGATTGGTCAATTTTGGCAGTTTACGTCAATACGTCGATAAGGAGGGCAACGAGAACGTGGAAAAAACAATAGGTTTAATAAGCAAAACAACAACTTCGCACGTGCATCACACTTATTTGTATATTTTTGTTTTGCACGACTACGGAGTAAAAATGCATAATTTCGCATTTTATGGGGAACGTAAACAAGCAACGACGAAATTTAATTTCTTTTTTTATGAACTTGGATATGGGCCTTGGAATTCCACTTCAGGAGAGTCGCCTACATTTGACAAAGTACGTGAGTAGGAATATTTAAGACTTTAAAGAGCAACTTTGTCGTCTTGTAGTTCTCGTTCTTTTGCCGTCTCGTAGTCGTTAGGGAAAATCGCTTAGTTTCCTGCACGCAAAGACAAAAAAAACGTAGCGTGCCGTGTGAAACAGTCCTCCACGGCACATTTTGACGTTTTAACATTTGTCATTTTTCTGGAATTCGGCGGGGTAGTGGGTGAAATGAAGTATTTGAAAAGCTGCTTAAAAGCTCTGCCCTTCCCTATTCCCGCCATTTTTCGCTTACTCGCGACACGACCAACGAAGCGGGTTTAAAGACTTAACCGAAACGGTAAACCACGCATGAAAAGCCTCTGGCACCTAGGGTAGACTTACAGACTCCTAGCTTTGTGCAATACAGTATAGCTTATTTTAGATGATCTGGGAGGTCAGCCCATGCGGTACTGCCATATTGAGGACGGTTGAAGATAGACATAAATGAGGGGAAGGGTGGGAAGGCAGAAGCGCAATCGTAAAATATACCTACTTGTCAACATGAAAGATGAATGCTAACCAGACCAAAAAGGATAAAATTGATGTGTTCAGTCTCAATTCATCAAAAAAAATTCTGCTACAGTAGTTTTAAGCAGTTTTGTTTGCCTGTTCTTGAGTTTCTAGTGCCGTAGCAATATACAGCTCGGCATTGAGACATAGGTGTTAACGAACAATTAGTGTTATTACAGTAATTGTTCAGATCCTGGAATGCTGGGCTTTGTCATTCATTGTCAACTATGCCTCGGTATATTGAACATTTTGGTTGTTTTTTTCGAAAATTCGTTAAATTGCTCAAGGCCTTTGATATAACGAACTCTCGATATGACGAACAAATTTCTCCAGTCCCTTGGCACTTCGTTAAATCGAGGTTCCACAGTACTCAGGTTTTCCCATATCCTTAAAAAACAACACTTTTCGAGTGAATTCGATCTGGAACGCACGGTGATAAACGAGTTCTTAAGAACTCCTAAGTGCTTCTTGAATGCAATCGGCTCAGGAAAATACTGTAAAATTTCACGGGATAAGCTCAGTCGGTACAGCGATGTATAAGAGCGGTACTATGTGGGTTCCATCCAAGGCGAGGGTCAATAATTAAGGTTTTATTAAAATGACTGGGAAACGAAGGTATGTGCTGTACTCCTTTGATCCGCAAGGGGCTAGACCTTCGCATGGCTAGGGTGACTACATAAAATGGTAGTCCAGTCTCCAGTAGGCGTCGTAAAAACAGTGTCGTCAATTGTTACGATTTGTGTTGCGATTAAGACATTTACGCTTACTAATATCTTTTACGTTTATTGCAACGCCAATTCAATATTGAGAAATTAATTCAAAGTCAAGTTAGCCTTTCCATGGTGCGTTGGTGATGTTAGGCAGCGAAGCACACTGCTCAGTGGGCATGTTGTCCTGTAACGTGAAAAAAAAAAACGGTCATTAACTAACTAAATAAATAAATACAGTAAAATCCCACTCTACGGACACCCGTTACCGCATAAAACGGCACTTTCGTTTTCCCTGACGAAACGTTCATATATTTTATCTAAAATTAACCCACTTATTACGGACGCCATTTATAACAGAGAACAGACAATTTTGTGTCGCGAGTGACAAACTCTCATATACCGTCAACCTCACTTAACGGAAACTAGTTACCTGCGCACTGTATATTTACTTGCCAACATGATGTGCTAATTGCGGTCATTGTTCCCTATTTAAGTAATTACAGATTTCTATGTGTTAATTCTGAAGCCCCAAAACAGTACCCCTTCTGGACGGAGCCTCCCTGTGTAGGGAGTACCCCCCGGACTTGTACCCACTCTGGGATTGGGCACAAAGAAAACTTTTGTTGCTGGGATAACCGCCCGGTTTAGAAGAGAAACGTAAACTGCGATCCTGATCGTTTATGAGCGTAATGAATGGGATAGATCAGACTTCAAGTTCTTTCACGGTAGCTAATTCACTTGGTTACATGAAACTGTTGTATCAAATGATCTCAGCCTTAGAGAACAGCTAACATTTCGCTACGCCACCACAGGAAAATGACGGCTGAGAAGCGAGCGCAGAAATTCCATACTGATGACGCTGCACTACGCAGAGGTGGCTAGTGCTTCTGATTGGTCGTGTCACGACGAAATTTGCTTCAACCAATCAGAAGCACAACCCAGATCTGGGACATGACGCGTCAACAGTATGGAATTTCTGTTCTTGTTTCTCAGACGTCATTTCGCGTGGTGGCGTAGCAAAATGTCAACTGTTCTCTGAGGCTACTAAGCTCTTATTTCAAAATCTCAGTTCTAAAACTTTAGAATAGCAAAGAAAAATTCAGGAGGGGTGCTGTTTCTTCGAGTAAAAAAAAAAAAAAAAAAACAGCGTCCAGTGAGTCCGTGACACGAAACACTTACCAAAACTTTCATATCTTCTTCAGTAATGACAAAGTCAAAAACGTCTACATTTTCAATAATTCTGTCCTTTTGAGTTGACTTGGGGATAGTTATATAATGTTTTTGTACACTCCAACGAATGAGAAGCTGTGGAACAGTTTTCTTGTACCTAAACGTGAAAGGAAAAATAGAACATGACATTCGGCTTTAGGAGTTCTTCAAATACTTAAGACGTCAGTGATGTAACAAATACCAATCAGTGTTTAGACTAGCATGAAGTAGGTGAAAACAACAACATTCACACTAACAAAAATAAAAACAACAAGGCAAAGTCGAGTTTTTGAGGACTAATTTGAATGAATGAAACTCTTCTTGAAGAAATTCAAAAGTAAGCCAAGGTTCACAAAATGTAAGTGGTTATTATTACAGCTGATGCATCAAGCGCCACGTGCCACCACCTATTCAAAAAAATACCGAAATCTTTCTAGTCAAATCAATAAAGTTGGAAGCACCTCTCAATACCAGTTTTTTGGATGATATTGGCAGTTTTGTATTTATCCTTCTGTAACCTACTTGAGGCATGGTTTGATCTCAATGTTCGCTGTATGCACTACACTAATCAAAGTATGCAAAGAACTTTAAATGACAGCCACAATTCGCAATTTAGAATTGCATATAATAAACTCTATTCCAAAATTTAGATCTGTCTGGACCTATTCTATTCCTCCTGTGGATCGCTTTTTGCCGAGAAGCAACCATCTCCCTTAAATGACCACTAAATTTTTGCATTTTAGGTGGACGCTCATGGAAGATTCAACTGTATGAAATTATATTCAAACCACTTTTTGAACTGAGATTTCATGGTAACATAAGTGAACTAAATACAGTACTATGAGAGCCTTACCTACTTGCCATCTCAACCAACACTGGGTCATTATTTTTCCTGCCACGAAAAAGTGGGCAGTAGCCCATTAATGCAATTCCCTTTTGTCTGCAATGATTCACAATGTCATCTAATCGCCAAAAAGGATTGAGCTCAATTTGATTGACAGCTGGTGTAGGAAGTCCTGCCTTTTCCATCTCCTCTAAATGAAGAACACCAAAGTTGGAAACCCCAAGGGACCTAATTTAAAACAAGGAAAAGTACTGTATAAATCATGCATTTCACTTTATTTAAAATATTAATACAGAGTTGCCACTCATCAGAAACCAAAAAATTCCCTCACTCTATCCCGACTTTTCACTGACTTCTGGGTCAGTTTTTGACCATCATTAAACAAAAACCAAAACAAAACAAAAACAAATACTTACAACTGTTTATTGATCCATATAGCATTTTAATAATATGTCAAATGGGGCATTCCCAAAATCTGCCATTGTTGAGTACCAGTAAGTACCACATGCTGTGAGAGGGAAAGAAATTGGCAAGCCCCTCCCTTTTTTGAGGGGGAAACTATGCATTGACAAGAGATTGGTCAGGAGTATTTAAACATACCATAATAATATTTTTCCACTCATTGTAAAGAAAAGGGGAAGGTGCTTTAACCCTTTAAGAGCCAATAGTGACCAACAACAATTTTCTCCTAACAATATCCATACATTGTCAAAAGATAAAGTTATGAGAATTAATGAAAATAATCACCAAAGGGAAAATGCCATGATCTTTTATCAAATTCTCTCAAGTAATTCTTAAAGGAAATGTAGGAGATCAGTTTGGAGAATTTGTACGTGGACATTGGGGCTTAAAGGGTTAATGCTGGAGAGGGGTTTATTAGAACAGGGAGCCCATATTTAAAACTACATGTAGAGTGGCAGCATCTGGCAATTTGTTTTTGTGCTTTCAGTTTTTCAACAGTAGCATCATTAGCACAGCCAATACATGATTTAGCGAGAGTTGTTTTAATCAGTAACTCATCTTACAACTTTTTTGAGTAAGTGCAACCTGTGAATAATCATTAACTACTGTTGATCCCAAAGAATTTTTCATACTTTCATTATGAAAACTCTGTTTTTTTTGGGGGGGGGGGGTGGGGGGGAGGTTGGGATTATTAGAGAGGGTGAGTCAAATAAACTTTGGCTGTTAAAAAGTGCAGTTTAAAAAGTAGCTAGGATAACAGAGCTTATTAAAGCTACTATGTTGTTTGATAGAACATTAAAGTGTGCATGCATTACATGCCTAGCACTCCCACAATCCTACTCTCTCTAGGCCATGTGCTCAATGTAATGGCGGTTTACCATTACACCATTGTTATTTGTTTGATCCTTGTTGTGTTCTGTATTCTCTGCCTTAACAAATCAACAGACTACAGTGGCAAAATTGTGCTGGAATTCCAAACTGGAAACAAAAATAGAGGTAGTAAACATGAATAGTCACCTTATAAGCCCTTGCTCCTGAAGCTTCAACATGGCTTTGTAAGAATTAATATTTTCCCCAGGAGTAGGAGAATGGATGAGGTACAAGTCGACATAATCAATATCAAGCCTGCAAGAAGTTTGTCAGTGTCAGAGAATCTTTAAAAAAATAATAACTAAAACGTTAATGAAAAACTAAATGCACTTGATAAACTAGTAAATATGACCAAAGGTTACAGAGTGCAGGTGACAACGATTGAAGGTCAAAACACTTCTGCTCCAGCGCTGTGGTTTGCGTAAGTTTTACATTTAAACAGACGGTCAAAACACGCATGATCAGATTATGAGTGATAGAAGGTACAAATGCGTGTGATCAACCTGCGTTCTGTGCATATTTCCATACATTCTTAGTGGAAGTCCAAATGAATGCTAGCTACATACATGCGACACAAGTGTAATGATTGCTGGGGGGCAACCCACATATGAAAGGGGTGGGGATGCTCATCATTTTGCTTACATGTAGGGGTGTAAATTTCAGATTTTGGTCTCACTTAGGGTGTTCTGGGCAAAACGCCATCATATTTAGACATGGAGGTCTTGTTTAGGGTTGCACACGAAAAAATATAAAAAATATATATTGTCTGTGTCTTAACATGGTCTCTTTTAGGGCTACACCCAGACTGGTCTCCTTTAGAGGTTTAATTCAAAATTTCTGACAAGCATCCCCACCCCTTTCATATGCAGAGTCCCCCCCAGAATTGTAGGCTCTTCTTGTCGCCTGCAATAACCCATTTACTTACTTTTTTTTTAGCTTAAACTAAAAGCTTCAAGACATTGGTTATATCCATGAGCATTACTCTGAAGTTTTGTTACCACAAAAATATCCTCTCTTTTAATCCAGAGTCTTTGATTGCTTGTCCAACTTCAGCTTCATTTCTGAGGAATTTCAAAAATGCTTCATGTTTTAATTAATTTTACCCGGCAGGAAAATGTCAAATTTTTTGTTTTTGATGTGTTGTTAATGGTTCAACTACTGTTTAAATGAACAGAATTGTAGTTTCTGAAAAAAGAGCAAACACTTAAAAAAATACAATCATTCTAACAGAGAAGCTGTTACTATTTCTAGTTAAGTTTGGTGGTAGTATTAATTTTTTTTTAGCCAAACATTCCTAATAACTCTACTTTGTATTATTCTGTAAAAAATAAAACAAATTGCTTTGATGCACTAAATGTCAAACAGAATCTCTTTTCTGAATATCTCATATCCTGTTTTTTTCCTTCTTTTTTTCAAGTTTTCCATACATTGCAATATCCCTATGGATTTATCATTTATCATAGAGGAGAACTCAACCTTGTTATAAATCAGTACATAAAAAATATGTCCAGACATAAGTCACTAAGGTCCAAACAGGTCAGGTGTACTATCCCCTACCATTTTGGTAATGTAAAAGTTTGCCCCATGTAAGAAAATCTTGATTCCAGAATCTGGGAAATTTTTGCCTGTAGAATTTGGAATTCTGGGAAATTTTGCTTCTGGAATCCGGAATCTTGGGCTTTGGAATCTGGAAAACAGCTCAAGGAATCCAGAATCCAAGTTCCACTGTTATAGACTGGAATCCAGTACAAGGAATCTGGAATCTGTGGCATGGAATTCAGAATCCAAGACTACTATCCATGGGGCAAAGTAAGCCGAAACTTCCTAGGTTAACCCTTTAAGTCCTAAGAGTGATCAGCATCAAATTTCTCCTTGTAATATCAATGCTTTGTAAAACAGAGTGGGCATGAGAATTACAGACATGATCACTCAAGATGAATTTGTTTGATGTTATCAACTTCTTCCCATTACTTCTGAAGAAAATGAATAGGGGCAACAAATGAGAATTCCAATTTTGATCTTGGGGTTTAAAGGGTTAAGTTAGCTTTACCGTTTTTTCTGTTTTGTTTTTCACGTCTTCCTGTGATGTTTTTTGTTGATCAGTAATACTGTCGAGGTAACTAGGAACCAGATGATTGGGGGGGCTAGTGTTTTGTTGGATACAAAAATGGAATGTCCCTATGTTGTTTGCTTAATCACCTTAATTGCCTGATTTCAAACTGAGGGGGTCTGGGTATGAGTCCATCAATTATATGGGATGAAGTGTAACACAAGGCGCACTATAGCCAGAAAGAGGAATTAAACCAAGATTTACAAACCCTTTGGTGCTAATCGGGCCAATAGTGAATGAGACACAGGCATTCAAAAACTCCAAAATTTAGTAAGAAACACATAGACGTCTGATAAATGTGTTTGGCAATCCATACATCTCTTAGTAAATTTTGAAAACTTGAGAATTTTGTAAAGCTCTGCTCTTTCTGAATATGTGGGTTTTGTGTTAATAATTGCAGAATATGGGAAATCATGCCCAACCTCCCTTGCTTTGAAATAATGAGTTAACACAACAGGGCCCGGTTCCTAAAAGGCAGATTTTGTAATCAATGATTATATTTACTTTAGTTTTGCATTTTGCCTTCTTGTGTATTGCTTAAAGTAACACTTAGTGTTATCATTACTGTATCTCAGAGTAAAGGCTCAACAGCATTTTGTAAACTCAAATTACACACTCTTAGACAAGAAAACCTTGCTCAAAATTTGGCGTAATCCTGGGTTTAACTTTACCATCTCTTGAGGAACCGGGTCCTGGACACCACAAAGAGGAGGAGGGCAATTTAACGTCTGTGTGTGACAAACATTATTGGGCTATTTCTTGCCTGTTTTGTCATGATCTTCACTAAACAATAATATTTTCAGGTCTTTTAAATACAAAAAAGATATGTTTGACATGGTTCATACAGAATTTTTTGAAAATCAAGGACTTTTCAAGGACTTTTCAAGGACTAAAATCATTTTTTCAAGGACTCCTTTTCTCCAATAACATGAAGCAAAATGCGTAGGTGGAGGGGGGTTCGCTTATTGCAATACCTTACTTCATTAAGGCATGGTTCCTGGGGTACTTCAAATAACTGAAAATGAACTATGCCGGGAACACCGAAATCATATAAAGAACAAGCACTTTCATGATCACCAAGAAAATGTTTGTGTATTGTTGTGCTTTCAATCATTCCTTGTTTGCGCAAAACAGTTTTTTTTTCTTTTTTTTAACGATCAAAGCTACTTTTATTCAAGTAGCTTTCAAAAATATTCAAGGACTTCTGTGGAAAATTCAAGGACTTTTTAAGGCACGTGCGAAAAAAGGTTTGACGGAAAGTGAAGTTTGGCGGAAAGTTCTTTCAAACAACGTTATTGTAACGTTGTAACACACGGTTCTCTCCGGTCCTATTGTATACCTGCCAACTCTCACGCCTGCTGGTTGAAAACTTCGATCTCACGCCGGCTCACGCCTGCGGGCCAATTTCTCACGCCTGATTGAAAAATGTGAGTTGTTGCCGTCCTGCTTGAAACAATTTCCAAAAATATGTTAACTCAGACCCATGTAAGGAATGAAAACCATGTGTAAAATGAATAAATGGCAATACCTTCCTCGCGATCTCTGATTTTTGAAGTGAAAAGCACTGGGAGCGAGCTCGCCTTTGGCAGACTTCGGCAGACTTCGGACGTCTTCGGAAGACTTCGGACTTCTTCGGGAATCTTCGGAAATGATCGAGTCGTCTTCAAAAATCCCAGCACTCCCAGGATAAAAATCTCACGCTTATATCTCAGAAAAAGTTGGCAGGTATACTATTGCATAACTTCACTATGTCACTCTAAATTCGAGATTACTCCAAAACTCTCAATCTAAGAAAACGTTTATTTATTATACGAGAAAAATTTAAAGCAAATCGTACGATAAGAACCCTTTTTTCTTTTATTTCAACAGGCAGTTTGAATTTACGAGAACAAAATCTTATTCTATAATTTGCTTGAATTTTTTTTCTTAAAATAAGAAATCTATGAATACTTCATGCAACGGTAATCAGATGTTCTCGTAAGATTTACACGATGTCCCTTACTGCTCAGTATTCTCATTAATCACATGATCGAGTGGTTCACAACGCAATGCTACATGCTTACCCGTAGAGAGCAGCTGTATCAATCATTCGGTATCCATTCTGCAGAGCAAACTTCACGGCCTCCTTTCCATCATCACCCAAAGCCTTGAACACTCCAAGACCGAAGAGAGGCATTTTATAGCCATCGTTTAAAGTGACTTTGCTCTGCAAGCCTTCCCCATCTACGGCCATTCTTGTAAGGCCCTTTACTTGTAAAACTGACAATCCAAATTTTAGATGAAACCTTTGTAGCAGAAGCTTTTTCAAAAGGCGTAAATTTGTGGCAGGCATCGGCAGGCATTACAACAGCTCACTAGTCTTGTGGTACTCCGCTGGTCACCGAGCGCTTTTGTCATACAGGACTGTCTTGGATTCCAGGAACTGGATTGCGGATTCTTTGTCGATAGAACTTGTATTCATTAGCGGAATTTCGGATTCCTTGAACTGAATTCCATGCAAATTACAATATTCCGGATTCCATAAGTAAAAATCTCCCGGATTCCAGGTTACCTTACGTTGGGTGACTTCTGACATACACAACAATACTAGCACACACACACTAGGCTTCTCAGGGGCGGATCCAGGATTTTTTTCAGGAGGGGGTGCACTCGTCTCTTGCTCTACTACAACACCAATAAACCACAAAGTTTTTTTTTTTTGGCAGAATACCAGTCGTATTAGAAAACCGCAGGTCATCTCAGGGGGGTGCGCACCCCCTGCACCCTCCCCCTAGATCCGCCCCTGCTTCTTGCATAAATTCTGCCGGTAGAATTTCTAGCAGAATAAGCGATTTTTGAGGCGAGCATTCTGCCGGCAGAATAAGGCATTTTCGAGCAGAATAAGGGAAATCAGCGGCACTAATGATGTGCATAACAGTGGTAAGAAAAATTTAAAACTACAGTAAAAAACAAATGGAAAAATAAGCCTTGTGAATAATTTGATTATTTAATAGCTACAACGCACTCACATTAAACTCACATTACGCATAATGATTTATCCAATTAGTTTTTAGGAGTAAGGCCCAGGTTCCATTCTACATTTGCGAAAAAAAAACTGAATACGGCCCGGAGGGCCTAAAATTTTTTCGGATACCGAGCAGAATTCCAGCAGAATAAGGGTGTCCGACCAGAATTTTGAGCAGAATAAGAGATTTTTACGAGCACTGCCGGCAGGCAGAATAAGTCATTTTATGAGTAGAGTTTATCCTAGCCTAACACACACGCGATCACAAATGATTGTAGAGAGTTTGACGTTTGGATAGAGGCCGGTGAGCCAGAGGCTATCATTGACTGGAGTACGGGTTATTTTGACAAAATTTCATTATTTGTTTATGCCAACTTAGAAAAACTGTTTCAGGAGGGAAAAGGGAGCAGAAAAAACACTGCAGACCAAGAAAGTGTTACTTCCACCACGGGTGTCTCCGTCCCAACGATGAAGCCACCGTTTTCCCTCCACTACCAAGAAAAGGTCCCTTTTTAAACAACCCCACTTTAGAGGACGTTTCCTAAAGGCATGCCGACCGTTCAAAGAGGGTATTTTCAGTTGGCTTCAAGATAAATGGAACTGATTATTTTCTAGCCAGAACTAAGCTGAATATATGCAAAATCTACTGGATTTTAAACCTGCTATGGCGTCCGTATATAAGATGGTCGTTAACTATACAGGGGTACCCAACGAAGCGGGTTTCCTCCTAAATGCATTGAAAACACTTTTAAGGCTACCCAGAGTACTTTTGGATATCTAAAAATGCATTCTAAGCGAAGATATAAAATTTGTACCTCTTCGGTCATCCTAGCGGAACTTGATTCTTTTAGAAATTACCGAGCTCTTCAATATTTATTGACCAAAAATTTTAGATCCAATTTTAAAACGTTAAAACGTTTTACAAAAGTGAGAATTTTTCTGATTCCTCTCCCCATCACATTTTCGAATCCAAAACTTTTAAGCTTCCTTTTTCCACGAAAAATAACCTAACCTGGGGAATGAAATATAAAAAATTAAACTTCAGAAAATGTTAGGGAATCTATTAGATAAGAGCTTGCAGAAATTTCCTCAATGGTCGAAGAAGATGTAAAATAAAGGTGTACGAGCACCCTGTAACCTTACAATAGTGCTGACAATTATAAACCCAACTAACAAAGTAAAAAAGAAACACATGTGGCACTTGAATGCTGTTTCACCTGTATTTTTATTGTAATCTCAGCTTAAAATGAACACATGTGTGATATACAACTTGCTGAAAAGCGCAAATAGTGCACCGAATTTCTAACAAGAAAAGAAAAAAAAAATTCCTCTACTTGAAAAGTTTGAAACTCTCAATAGCAACAATTCAAAGCACTGACCAAGCAAATCTATCCCTATCACCAGGTCTGGCAAAAGATTACCAGCAGAAAAGATTTAGTTAAAAGCAAACAATGAAGTTTGAAAAAAGCTATCATTATAGTATGCTACATGCTAACGGCGCAACTTTATTTCATTATGGGAGGCAGGTTTCTGAAACTGGAAGTGCGCTTCTTATGTAAGCGAAGTATCTTATCCGACACGCGTCGTTTTATTTTACATTTATGTTTTCGTATAAACGGCCTTCAGTATTTCACTACTGTACATTAATCAATTTAGATACAGTTTATAAACAATAATGGAAGTACTATTTGGTTGCTTAACACTTAAGACTAGCCTGGGCGCAACAGACGTTATTTGGGTCATCCAGGCGGGTTTTGGGTTGCGACCACCAGAGCCCTTCTGAGCGCCCTCAATAATGCTCGTTACATGTTCAGGCTACATATAAAACTATCAGCGGAGTCTTGAATGTGACAACTGGCGTTATCGTAGTGACCTCTTTAAAACGGAAATCTCCATAGTAGTTGCTTTGTCCCTTCGGTGTCTGTACACAGGGCTCAACAGTACGGATTAGCTGATTAGGCTTCTACTGGTTTGATTTTCATTTCAGCCCGTTTGAAGGAGTAATAATGGCCTTTCCAGTGAGCCCAGTTTACACCGTTGGCATAAGAGGAGTGATTTCCATTAAGATAGCGACCATTTAAGTTGGAGTCATGACAGCTACTGTACCACCAGGCTCCCTCAGACCAAATGGCACAGCTCCCAATAGTTTGGTCATTGTCTTGATCTTTGGTGGAGAATGACATATTATGATGCCATGCAAGAGAGTCACCAGCAGTTCCTAAATAGATAAACAAGAACCTCATTTCTTACCATACATTCTTATTAATGGTCCTAAATAACCTTTCTTTAGACGTTTCGGCGGGAAAGTGAGAGAGTAGCAGCACTCCAAATAAGTAAAACGGGCATTTTTACCGTTAAAAATAGGGCATTTAACCTCAACTATGTTACAGTCTACTTATCACACTCTTTAATCTTTAGTTATTTTATCTGAACATTGACTTGGCGTAATTTTTCCTTGTAAGTAAAGGTAAACAGGTGAAACTTTCTAGTCTACACAGTTGCTCCGGATATAACCTGAATAAAATGCAAAATTTTACTCCAGCCAGTTCCATTAGTCATCGTCATTTCTATCATAATAGTTACACTCTAGACGGCTAACATATAGAGCGTTTCACAGGACGAAATAACGTGTTTCCGTATTTTGTAAACTCGACGGAAACGGGAAGTTTCTTATATCCGTCACGTTTCCGTAACAAACCAAGCACTTTTTATTTTTTGCCTTGTTCCTTTTAAAACGAGATCAATTCCATTTAACAAAATTTTTTTCACACAAAAAGAAATGTCAGTAAGATTGGCTGATCGACTCAGAATAAATGGGGTTTGCAATAGTTAGCTTTTTCTCAGTCGTCGCCTTGGTAGCACCAGTTGACCAACTCTTTTCAGCCACATAACCTCTAGTTGTATACCTCACCATCTCACTTAATCCTCTTACTGATGTAGATCAGTTTCGATTACATTCGGTTGAGTTACCCCATGACATAATTGTAAGCAGTTTACCAGCTCACTGAGGATGGAGTAAGCTGGGCAATATTTAAAAAAGTACCTGCAAAAGGCAAGACTTTTTGAAAATTTTGATCAAGTTTTAAGTAGCAAAACGAGATCAGATTGAGTTCTCTTTGGGCAAAGATAAAGGCCTCTGGCCTGTCGAACAACGAGCTAAGAAACTACATTATTTTACAGAGCCAGGATCGACGATTCTTTCGCCTGAAGCTTTGTAAGTTGGTTAAGATGTTTCGCACACTTTCTCCCTAGCATAATAAGAACAGGCTTCGTTATTTGCCTTCTTCTCCCGACACTTGCCACTTGACATTTAAAAGTAATTTGCGTTGATCAGAGGCTTGGAATCGGGAGCTGCTAAAGGCTTGCAAGAGACCATATATGGTCTTTTGAGCATGGTCAGTAGAAAAGTACAATAGTAGTTTACAGTACCAAGTGCAATAACAACTGCTGTGATAACAGGGTTTTGTCCATTGAAAAATGTAAAGGAAAAGACATAAGAACAATACCTTTCATTGATTTCGTGATTTTCATGCTTTGATCCTAGTTACTAGCGTAGTTAAAATGTTTACCTGATTTTCTATTGGTTTTGTAATGAGATATTTCGGCGTCCCCACGCGGGTATAAAAGCGCGCGTTAGCGTCCTTTTGGGCAGGAAAAGTCAAGTAGGATTCGCGTCGTGACATCGTTTTGTGATTTGTCTAAACCTTTGGTACAAGCGAGACCGATATGTAAGTGATTTCTTTTGTTATATTGTTTAGTTTCGTTCTTTAGTCAGCGGGCAAAAGTACACGAATGTTACTGTACAAGTATACAGATTTAAGCTTAATTGATTTATAATTGTTTCATGAGCGAAAATAAAAGCGGAATTGAACCTCTGTTAGAGCAACGCCCACACTTTTGCTTTATAGTACAAGGATTAAGATCAGATTTATGGAATTATTGTTTAATTTCAGTCTATGTAGCCTTTAAGTAGATTTTACTGTCTTGTTATCGACCTAATCATTATAGAATCGTTTTATTACCGTTTTCAAGCTTTTGCTTGTTGATTACGCGTTATTTGTCTCGGTATCGCCTTTTCGGCAAATTGATAGAGATTTTTGTATTGTTATTTCAGTTCACGGTCAATCTTTGGTCCATAGATTTCGGTCTTTGGAATTTGGAATTAAATCGCCGTTAACCGTCACCTTTGGTTTTCCGTGGTTTTCTTGTTTTGCCGACCCGTAAAATAGTCCCTAATGTAACCTGCTGCGACACACCCCTCGAAGTTTCGTTTCTCGTTTGTTTGTTTGGGTCGTCGCCAGCCACAGTAAAATATCGCCAGTCTTGTTTGCCGATGGTTATGAACATTTGTTGAACATTGCTTGAACTTTTGAAACTTTATTTGATGGCCTTATGAGTGTCTTTAGCGTTGCATACCTTCGTAACCATACGCCGACACCTATCGGAGATAATGCGCCAAAACAAACACATCCGGCGTCAAAGAGCGTAACAAGCGTCACATCTTCCATTTCGAAAACTGAAGCTCCTCGCACAAGAAAAATGACGGAAAAAGGAAAAGCTTACCAATTAGGGATTAAACAAGCTAACCGTGATTGTGCGCTTGCGAAACTGTAAAGGCAGATAGAGAAGATCAATATAATGCGTGACTTACCTGAGACAACAATTGAACAATTAGCCTTAGAGAGGGATTATTTAGATCGCTTTTGAAAGATGAGTTTAATGACGCGCAAAAGGCGTACGATGATTTGTTGGAATCGCCAGAAGAAAAAGACGCCTCCTACCAATGGTTCGATATCCGTGATCGAGAGTTAACTGAATGTAGGATAAGAATCTGCGAGCGCATTCAGGCACTGGAGAAAATATCTACTCGACCCCCATCCGAGAAGTCCAGGCACAGTAGGAAGTCGTCTGTCAGGTCTTCTAGATCTTCCTCGTCTCATCGAAGTTCTCTTGACTTAGTCGATGCAGTCGCTAAAGCAGTGAAGTTACGAGCCGAAATGGAACTTTTCCATAAAGAAAGAGAAATAAGGCGCTTACATCTTGAAAAGGAAATAGCGATTGCGAATGCCGAAGAGGATGCAATTAAAAGAATAATAGATGAAGACAAACTAAGGAAGAAAAGAAAAGCGTGAGACAAGATCTCAAACCAGGCACGGGTGCCGCAAGGTTGATTAAGAATGAGAGAAATTTTCCTATGGACCCGAACGTTCCTCCCTTCGTCCCAAGTAACTTACCAGAGTCTCCCGAGATTCTGCGATCAGAACCGTTTTTCTCATCCTCGCCGTACGTTAGTCCAGATATCAGCGCTACCATGCGCGAAATAGTAAAATTCAAGCAAAACAAGCAGAGTTAAGTTCGATGATAATAAGTCAGCAGAAGACTACCCACCTTCCAGTAAAAGAGCCGCCTATCTTTTCTGGAGATCCATTCGAGTATCCAGCGTTTATAACTGCCTTTGACTCCATCATGCTAATGTGCCCTTGGACAGAGATCGTCTCTTCTTCCTAGACAAGTACACTAAGCATACGGCGAACGAAGTTGTGAAAGGATATCTAGCTATGAGCTCGGACAGCGCTTACAAAGAAGCCCGGAGATTGCTTGACCACCGCTTTGGAAATCCAGTGAATGTGGCAGAAGCGTATAAGTCTAGCCTCAGAAAATGGCCGAAGATCAGTGACGGAAATAGTAGTGGTGTCCAAGAGTTCTCTGACTTTCTTGTGCGATGTGAAGAAGCGATGAAAACAATGAAGTCTATGGGAGATCTTGACCCTACACAAACACTCCTTCAGATCAGTGCTAAGCTTCCTTCCTATTCTGGCATTAAGTGGCGTAGGCACGCCCATGAAGCACAAACGAAAACAAAGAAGATTATCACCTTTAGTGACTTTGTAAAATTCTTTAAGGAAGAAGCAGAACTAGCGAACGACCCTATTTTCTCAGTAGACGCGCTAAAGAAAGAAAGAAATAAGACGGTGACAGTAAACCAACCGAGGTTCGGACGGAAAATTCGACCAAAGAGCAAAGGCGTTGACGGAGCTAGCGGAACGTCCCTTGCGACCGGAGGCTTGCCCATAGAATCAAAAATCGGCAGTGAGAACTCGTACCAGCCCTGTACTCTCTGCGAAGGCCAGCACTCACTCGTTAAATGCAGCAGTTTCTTGAAGAAGTCAGTAGACCAGCGCAGTGATGTCATTCGTGAAAAGGGACTTTGTTACGGCTGCTTTAAAAGGGGTCACATGTCAGCGGGTTGTCTTGACAGATTCACTTGTGAAGAATGCGGAAGGCGCCATCACACACTCCTCCATGAAGTAAAACTCAAATCCAGCAACCCACAGCCAGACACGAAAGCAAAATTGAGCGTTCTTCAACCGAAGAAGAAAGAGCCTCAAAGGGAAGCCAGGAGTGAAAGCAAGCCAGCTCCCGAATCATCAAATTCAAACGCGATTAGCGCGGCACACAGCTCAGTCCCGGGCAACGAAAGCTTGATCACCAATTGTCGAATAGTCTTGGTCGATCTGTTTCACAAGGCTAATCCCGAAAAGCAAATAAAGGTGTACGCACTCCCAGACGATGCAAGTGACACGACCTTCGTTACCACCCAAGTGAAAGAGAAACTCGGCATAGAGGGTGTTCAGACCAGTTTGAACCTTAGTACCATGCTTGGTCGGGAAGTGTTGGAAGACTTGACGGACGTGTCCAAGTTGAGCTACCTAAAGCGTACACCAGAGAAAGCATTCCATCCAGACGAGATCAAATCCCGATACCGGAAGTTGCGGATGAGTAGCCGCACCTTCTCAAAATACGCGATAAGATCCCGCCCTACGTAAAGGACGCAGAAATTGGCTTTTTGGTTGGTTGTAACTGTCCCAAGGCAATTAAACCAAAGGAGGTTATACATGGCACGAGTGAAGATCCTTATGCGGTTCGCACTTTGTTAGGATGGTCTATCGTGGGACCTGTCGCGACCTCAGACAGCTCTTTGGAAGACCGCGCCCTGAATTCCACATGCCATCGCACCCTAGCGAGAGAGAGAGTTCCCGGAGATCGTGAGAGCCGATTGAGTTTCGTGCTTAAAGGAAAAACAAAGGAGTTGATAAATCCATATGCGATCAATCAGTTCGAACTAGATTTCTCAGATCACAAAAACAGCGGAAGGCATGGTTTGTCTAAAGAGGACAGACGATTTCTGGAAATAGCTAGTCGAGCATGGAATTCGTCAGTGCGAAGACGGCCATTACGAACTTCCGTTGCCATTGAAAACCGAGCGCATCGAACTGCCTGATAATAGAGAGACAGCTCTCAGCCCACTTAATCAGCTGAAACGAAGATTTCAAGCTCCAAAGGGACAGAAATATAGAGAGGACTATGTGAACTTTATGAAAAATATCATTGAAAATGGCTATGCAGAGAAGGTACCAAACATGCACAAGTCAGAAAGGAGGAATGTCTGGTATATCCCTCACCACGGCGTCTACCATCCAAAGGAACCAAATAAAATTCGCGTAGTTTTTGATTGCGCGGCGGAACATAGGGGCGAATCTTTAAACAATCACCTGCTTCAAGGCCCTGACTTGACAAACAATTTAACCGGGGTACTATGCCGCTTTCGAGAAGAATCCATCGCCTTTATGTGCGACTTAGAAGCCATGTTTCACCAAGTCAGAGTAGACGAAAGCCACAGAGATTTACTTCGATTCCTCTGGTGGGGGGGCGGTGACGTCACTAGAGAACCAGAAAAATATAGAACGGCCGTTCATTTGTTTGGAGCCACTTCATCGCCAATGACTATGAAAGTGAATTTGGTGTTGCTGCCGCAGATTGTCTTCGAAATGACTTCTACGTTGATGACGGTCTCAAGTCTGTTCCCTCAATCGATGAAGCTGTAACGCTCATTTCAGATGTGAAGCAAATGTGCAGGAGTGGAGGTTTCAACCTTCATAAGTTCGTGTCGAATAGTAAAGACGTCATCAGAAGAATACCAGAGTCAGATAAAGCAGATGGCGTTAAAGAGCTCGATTTGGACCTCGATTCGCTTCCGGAACGTGCTCTTGGTGTGCAGTGGTGTATTGAGTCTGACTGCTTTTAGTTTAACATCGTCTTACAGGACAAACCGCGCACTAGGAGAGGAATAATTTCTACGATAAGTTCGATTTTTGACCCACTTGGCTTCGTTGCTCCGCTTTTGTTAGACGGGAAGTCAATACTTCAGGAGTTATGCCACCTTGATGTAAGTTGGGATGACCCGATACCTGACGATGTAAAGATCAAGTGGGAGAAGTGGAGAGCAGACCTGTTAAATTTGCAGCAAATTTCAATTTCGAGATGTTACAAGCCCGAAAACTTTGGTTCTGTTGTGCGCACTGAACTCCACCACTTCTCAGATGCAAGCGTAAAAGGTTACCGTCAGTGTAGTTATTTGAGAATGATTGATGAGCAGCAAAGGATTCACTGCACCTTAGTCATGGGAAAATCGAGAGTTGCTCCCTTGAAACCTGTAACCGTAACGAGACTGGAACTCACCACCGCTGTTTGCTCTGTGAGGATTAGCCAGCAGTTGCGTCGGGAATTGAGTTATTACATTGACCATGCAAGAGTACTTTTGGACAGATAGCAAAGTGGTCCTTGGATACATAAGCAATAAAAGTAGGCGATTTCATGTATTCGTGGCTAACAGAGTTCAAGAAATTCAAAATAGCACTTCTGTTGAACAGTGGAACCACGTCGAATCAAAACAGAACCCTGCAGATGAGGCTTCGCGAGGTGTAAAGTCTCAAGAGTTGTTACATTCTCGTTGGATCAACGGACCTGTCTTTCTTTGGAAGACTGAAGACCAGTGGCCAATAAACCAGGATCACAGTGAAGGTACCTTTGATCTCCAGAATAACGACCCCGAAGTCAAGAAATATGTTACCATGGCGACCACACAAATCGATTCAGAGAAAACAAGCCTGTGTGAGAGAGTGAGGTATTTCTCTGACTGGTATCGCGCGAAACGAGCAATTGCTCTGTTTACACGTTACGTAAGAAGTTTAAGAGCGCGAGTACAGGAGAAGCATTGTAAAGAAGAATTGACACGAGAAGTAAAAGTCACTGAGTTAGAGAGCGCAGAACGCGCTATCATTCGTGCAGTACAGACAAGCGCATTCAAGGAAGAGTTAGACGTCTTGAAGCAGATAAAGCGGAAGAATCCGGACCCTAACAGTAGAGCCTGGGCGCAACAGAGGAAATCTAACATAAAGACTTACGGGTCACTGTACAAGCTCGATCCTTTTGTTGATGATGATGGAATTTTGCGAGTCGGTGGACGTCTCAGACGTGCAAGTCTGTCAGATGACATGAAGTTCCCTATCATACTACCAAGAAATAGCCACGTTACCACGCTCATTGTCAGGTATTTTCATGCACGTACAAGTCACCAAGGCAAGACCATGACGCTCAATGAAGTACGATCAAATGGATTTTGGATAATAAGTGGTTCAGTTGTAGTCAGTAGCATTATCTCGTCCTGTGTCAAGTGCAAGAAACTACGTGGAGCAGTTCAAGAACAAAGAATGTCAGAAGACCGTTTAGAGACTGCCCCTCCCTTTACCTACTGCGCCGTCGACTATTTTGGTCCCTTTATCGTTAAAGATGGCCGGAAGGAGCTGAAGCGTTATGGTGTTTTGTTCAAATGTATGGCTTCGAGGGCTATACACCTCGGAACATCTAACTCCCTCGACACAGATTCATATATCAACGCCCTTAGACGATTTATCAGTCCGCGAGGACCCATCCGCCAGCCAAGAAGTGACCAGGGAACCAACTTTGTAGGAGCTCTTAAAGAACTTGCAGAAGCGTTAGGTGAAATGGACCAAGAAAGAATTAAAGCAAAGCTATTAGAAGAGCAGTGCGATTGGTTTTCCTTCAAAATGAATGTCCCAGCAGCGAGTCACATGGGAGGTGTGTGGGAACGCCAAATAAGAACCGTTCGGAGCGTTCTCTCATCGCTGTTAAACAATAATGGGCGACAATTAGACGACGAGTCTCTTAGCACTCTGACGTGTGAAGCAGAAGCGATTGTTAACAGCCGACCCTTGACAGTAACCCAGATTTCAGACCCAGATTCTCCAAGTCCTTTGACCCCGAACCAGCTGCTAACGATGAAGTAAAAGTTGTCCTTGCTCCACCAGGTGTCTTTCAGCCAGCAGACGTTAAGTTGATTATTTAGTTGATTTAGTGAAATAATATGATTATTTCTGGGGAGCCATGCGTCGTGACATCGTTTTGTGATTTGTCTTAACCTTTGCTACACGCGGGACCGATATGTAAGTGATTTCTTTTGTTATATTGTTTAGTTTCGTTCTTTAGTCAGTGGGCAAAAGTACACGAAGGTTACTGTACAAGTATACAGATTTAAGCTTAATTGATTTATAATTGTTTCATGAGCGAAAAGCGGATTTGAACGCCTGTTAGAGCAACGCCCACACTTTTGCTTTATAGTACAAGGATTAAGATCAGATTTATGGAATTATTGTCTAATTTCAGTCTATGTAGCCTTTAAGTAGATTTTACTGTCTTGTTATCGACCTAATCATTATAGAATCGTTTTATTACCGTTTTCAAGCTTTTGTTTGTTGATTACGCGTTATTTGTCTCAGTATCGCCTTTTCGGCAAATTGATAGAGATTTTTGTATTGTTATTTCAGTTTACGGTCAATCTTTGGTCTATAGATTTCGGTCTTTGGAATTTGGAATTAAATCACCGTTAACCGTCACCTTTGGTTTTCCGTGGTTTTCTTGTTTTGCCGACCCGTGAAATAGTCCCTAATCTAACCTGCTACGACACACGCCGCGAAGTTTCGTTTCTCGTTTGTTTGTTTGGGTCGTCGCCAGTCACAAAAAACTTCATCTTTCATTGTCGAAGAAAGGGCATGTATAAAATAATTCTTCAGGGTGCAGAGAGAAATCATTGTCAAAAGGTAATGTCCATTGTATGAATTTTTTCTTAAGTCCTTATTTGGCAGTCAAAAAACCCAGACCAATTCGGTATTTCAGTCAATGTAAGGTATAGTGTTACAAAAAAATTAGTCAATAGCCAGGCAACTATAAGCCGAGAGTCAGCAATGTACTATTAAAAAAAAGTCGTATTACGTACACTTAAGTACCGGAACAAATTCTTACACCCATAATACAACTGAGTTTTTAAACGAGGGCAGGTCCTTCCCATTAAATCATTTTTTTTTGTCGGAAAACTATCCCTGATCACCTCGCAGCACTACTGATTCAGATCCCACGACTAAGGATCCCAGATCTCGGGTCTGTGATCCCTGTCGAATCCCTGATCCCACCCCATTTTTTGCCTTTTATCCCTGATCCCATATAACTCGTTACGACCCTGAAATTCGCCTATATTTGTCAAACAAAGCGATTTGGAATAATCACGCGTGTTTATAGCAAGCTACCATGAACAAACTATTCTTCCAACACTAAGAATCGCGTTAAAACAATGCAATCGCTGAAACAGAGTAGATCGGTGAAACCAAGAAACGTCTGAGTTAAAGAATACCGAAATAATAATATAAATAGAAATATACAGGAATACCGAACAACAGTTGCCAGTTTTCTAAATTTCTAAGTTTTTAAATTTTGAATAACTGGGACCTCTCAAATAGTAACGTAAACGTTACCCCTTTTATGGTTTTCATCATTAATGTAGTACAAGAGCCCATTACAGGCTCCTGTGTAGTATTATGCTTACCAGCGTATTGTCCAAGACGTCCCAGCTTGTACTTGCTCTGTTCATCACCAACACCGAAGGAGTCGTACTCAGCGTAAGCTGTTTGGTTTTCGAAGTCTTTCAGGTCTACCCGAAGCCTTCTTTGTTCTTTTGTCAGTCGGTGAATGTTTTCTAGTCCGAGCCAAAATTCACCATTCAGATTTCCAAAGCCTCGTTTGTAGTCGTCCCAGCCGCGATAGAAATCTACCGAGCCGTCCAGTCTCTTTTGGAACACAGTCCATCCCCCACCGGCAGTTGTTTGGTCACAATAAACATCAAAGGCTCCAGCATCATCAGGGTCGATAGTGTAGACACCACTGGTTCGCAAACCGGCTTCATAGACCTCAGCACAACTGCTGTAAACTGGAAAACATGAATGCAGCGACAGCATTTCGAATCCTTATCACTTTAATGCAATATGAAAGACGTGTGACTTAGAAGTTAGTCATATAACCTCGTCATAAATTAGCATAATCTTTAGCAGAAATAGCTAGAAATATTACCTTATTAAAAAAAAAAAAAAAAAAAAAAAAACACGCGACGGGGCCAGCATTACTGGTCCACAATAGGTCGTCAACTTCTATCTTGGACTGTTTTCCTTTATCATATTCTTGAAATAAAGCCAAACTTACAAAAAATAGTCCGTCAAGTGCCTGATGGCCGCTTAATAGAGGTGACAACAATGGGATGAGAGTACCTTGTTCGCAGTTTTCACCTTTGAAACCAGCTGTGCAAGCGCAAACGTAGTTCTTCTCGGTATATCCCATGTAGCACGTTCCGTTGTTCAGGCAAGGCTGACTGGCACAAAGATTCTGTTAAAAGAAACGCTGCTTCAATGAATTTTTATTTAAATCAGCTTCTCCTAGGCTATAATAAACTACGATTAACCCTGTTCCTATTTAAACCTTTCCGTTATTCTTTCGCTGGAATTATGCAATAATTTTAATTCAAACGTAAACGAAAGGAAAAAAATACCGCTTTTGGACCGAAAAGATATCCCGCGCGATCGGCAGCCCAAAAAGGCGCGAAAACAAAAACCGAAAGTCGATAATAATAATAATAATAATGGGCACTTAATGAAAGTTCAACTGTATCTTTTTTTAGTGCCTTAAGTTTTGAACTCTTTTCTTTACTCCCAAAACTGTTCTCTTTTTGGTGTGCGACGTTATTTAATATTTCTTTTTTGTAAGTTAGGCGACCGTCGTCGAGCGTCCAATAATACAAACACATAATTATGTATAGCGGAAAAATGGACATAAATCATCCAGGTTTTAAATTAAAGTGTAATTATGAAAATTTAAAGGGTGGATTGCAGCCAATCCGAAGAGGAGATTTAGAATTTAAAATAAATTATAGGAAACTGCATATACCGCCAACACCGACATTTTTATCATCTTTATCATCAGAAGCTTGAAATTATCATAAATCAACCCCTACATGATAGTGGAAATGGTTGAAAATTCATCTTGACTTGATAACATTATTTGCAACAACAACAACAACAATCTTTTTGTTGACTCGTGACACAGTTAAAATTATTACAAGAAAAAAAGTTACATACATTACAAAGTTATAGATTATACCTTTGCCCCTCTGTAGATCCAGTCCTTTCTTGGTTTGAGATCTTCTGGGTGCTGCAAGTGATCTGAATTACTGAGTTCACAGGCCATCTTGTTGTTGATCTTTGGACCAATATTATATGAAACACATTCCCTCGCAAGGGCGCATTGGTCTTGGCAGTCTAGGTTTAGTTCCACAGAATGATTTGAAAACACGTGTCCTTCAAGGTAAAACCCTCCGACTGGTGTCAGAAATGTGATGCGTCGGTTGTTTTGTCCGCAGGTTCCTGAAACAGAAATTGATATAATCAAGAGAGAATTTGACTGACTTTATTGCACTGCAATAACGGTATGTATACTAATTAGTAATCACATGATTTTTCTCATGTAATTTGCAAGAAATGCAGAGGACCTGTAAAATTTTCAAAGACCGCAAACTGCACTCGTCCTGACGGGCCTTTTATAATTAGTTCCTGCCCAAAATTTACATGAGGTCAAGCGCGCGCTTACTCACCATCTTTCCCGCGCTTTTGGTGCCGGAAAATTGACCAATCACAAGTGTTGTGAAGCATAGCAAGTTGTGACGCAAAACATAAAATTGAAAGTTTGTAGCAAAAAGTAGAACTCAGGCCTACTTTGTGCGACATGTTGCCGCAACTTGCAACATTGAAATTTGTTGCGTCACAAGTTGGGAGCGAAGTTGGGAGCAACAACGCTTTTCAACTTGCAATGCAACAATGTTGTGCGACAAGTTGCACGAAAATGTTTCCAGAATTACTTGACATTTTAACGAGCCAGTGCAAACATTTTACTCGCGCTCATTTATAATCCAATTCCATTTTTGTATTAAACCTGCATGAAATGCGTTTTCTTATTCAAAACTGTTCAGACCCCGGGGGTACTCAACAAAATTTTATAAGGGAAGGCTCCTTCCGATGTCCAACCCTTTACCCTTTTAAATACCATTTTTGCTAGAAGGGGTACCCTTTTTATGTACCTTCTATTGACAAAATGGTACCCCTTTCACAAATCTAGTTTAGAACGTTAATTTTATCTCCCTTTTGACTGTCGTAAATGTGCTGGGTTTAAAGCTCTCGTTAATTTTTATAGTTAACTCAAACAAAGTATAAAATCGTGTAATGCTAAGCGGAGACGGCAACCAAAACGGCCAAAATAAAATCAGTAGGTCTACTTAGGAAAAAAACAACTTTGCCGGGTGCAGCACAATTTCTTTTTTTGTACATTTCTTTGTCGTTGTTTTGCACGACTACAACGTGAAACTTCCAGAAACTTCCTAGTAACGCGTTTTGTGGAGCAAATGTCGTATGTGTTCCTGTTCCCTTTTTTTTTTTCACTGCCGTTGATGACTATTTTCACCTCGGTGGCCGCTAGCATTTCTCATTTTCTCACTGCCGGTATAAAAATTTCATAGTTTTCTCAATTTCAACGAACTTGGTCTCCTTTGTTTTTTATCTCTCAGTCTAGCTTTTTCTCTGTTATCCACATCAATGTAGACATTGAAATTTAGTCGAAAGAAAGAATCGGCTTTGTTGTGTTTGTTGTTTATTCTCTCTAAGGATCCGGGTGGCCATGCCGAAACGCGTGGCAGGTGCTATTTTTCAAAATTTCATCCCGGCTTACACGAGAGGGTTAAGTTACCTACAGACGAACGTACGGATGATGTTCTTAGAACCAAAATTTCTTGGATGTATAGATAACCAAATTCTCTTACCCATGGGACTCCGCTTCGCGCATGCAAGAACTCCGCTATGAATAAATTACAAAACCAGAACAGAAAATGCACCTGTTTCTCTCTTTTACCGTCCGAAGTGACAGATTTCCCTCCCTTTTCATATACTTTAACTATAGTGAAATCCTTACGCTACAAAAGGTGCCCCTTTCGGGCGGAGTCTCCCAGTATTGGTCATTTAATCGGAGTACCTCGGGGTTTAAACCTTTTCCTCCAGCATCCGCCAGCATTCTAACGTTACTGGGCTTTCTCTTCAAAACTCGGGGACCAGGAAAACACCACTAGGGTGTGGCCTTTTCGAGCTTCCGATTTAAAGACGATTTAAATTTTGTTTACACTGTGTTATAGATTTTAAAGAACGTTGGCGAGTAACATAATTCAAGAATGATATTTCAACTCCTGACCAATTGTTTATTAAAATTTAATGCAGAGGTTGCTTTTCTCGTAAAGCTTTTTGGAAAAAAGAAAAACAAAACAAACAATTAAAAACATTTTTGCTTGTTTTGGAAACTTTTCACTAGTTTTATTACTCAAATTTCGATATCCTTTGCACAGTGGATGTTCTTACGGTGAAAATGCAGTTTAATTACTGCTTAGATAACTGTCCGTTATGTGATGTACTTAAACGCGAAAATTTTAAAGATTCTCCCGTGATGGCAAAATCTCCGTTGAGTGTTAAGTCACATCTACAAATTTAACCCAACTTCACCTAAGCCGGACTGAAAAATCCGCGTTCGTATCATACTTAAGTTGTATGTGACTCAGGCTAACGGTTCAGGTGGTGGTTCAGTCGTCGGCGCGCTGGACAAAATTCTCCTAGAGTTGAAGCGATGAATTAAGCTTTCTTGAAAAATTGCGACCTTACAAGGTCTTTTGCGTAAATAATAGCTGAAATAATGGCAAATCTTGATCTTCGCTGCTAAAGACACAAATAAAAAGGTTATAGCTGATGTTGGCGAAGAAAAATCGTGAAAAAGAAAATAGCTAAATCTGTAAACCAGCCTCACCTTCGACGCGAGCAGTTGCAACGTAGTTTAGCCAAGCTCCCCAAACAACACAAGCCAGCAAGAGCGCTAACATTGCTAAACGACTCGCCATACTGAAGGCCTTGATAGGGAATGAACCGCTCCCGATTGCGATCAGACAGTTTTCATGGAAAAGCAGAAAATGTCATCAGGGCTTATTAGTCATCAGTTAAATGTCTTGAGGTCTTTATCAGATAGTTAATTATTTATTAGCATACTTTGTATCTTTAAAATTGTTTAAGTCAGCTGCAACTGTAGAATTCCCTTAGAATAAAAATGATAAATCTACAGATAAAAGTAAGCTTATCGCTTTTTATTCATTTTATCCTTTTTTTTTTCAATTTATTAATTTCGTATTTCACCCTTTAAGGTAGATGATAGGTTCTTAGGTCCCAATCCTATAAATGAGATGGTGACTGGGTTCTTCAGGTTCTTTCTCGTTTACTTCCTAGAATTACCACCCTTTTGTGCACTGCAGTATACATGGATTTTCGTATTTTCGTAGTATATAGTGAAAATATGATGTTGCAATTTTTGAAAAGAGTATAATTAAATTCAAAAACGATTTTCCGTTTTCAATGCCCGATTAGAATGAAGTAATGTTAAATAATTTAGTAACGTCTGAGTTCACTAAGATAAAAAGAATCACTCGTGGATTTTTAAAAAGGAATTAAATTGTCTTTTCGTCATCCTTTTCTTTAAATTAGTTTGCCAACGAGAAGGTCAGTCGGATGATGAAGTAATAAAACATTAATTTTTCGCGGTAGGGCCTCTCGAACGTCCTAGTTACTCACGGTTTAAACTTTGTTTATTCTCTGTAATAGTTAATGAAAACAAGTTGGCGTGTAATTTAAAACGGATCTTTTAACTCTGTTGATTGAAATTTCAGGTAAAGGTTGCTTTTGCTGAAAAGTTTTTATAGAAAAAAATACGATTAATCATTTTAGCTTGTTTTGGAGATTTTTGTAATAGTTGCTCAAATTTTAATCTTCAATTCTTTGTAGAGTGAATTTTCTCTCCGTGAAAATGACTAGTTTGAACTCAAACGTAGATACCAGTCATTTGTCCCCTCACAGGCACCAAATATAATGACTGCAAATGCTAAACCTTGTAAATAACCGCGAACAACAATAGCGCTTGGCATGAGTATGACGTCCATTAAAGCATATATAAATTAATCTTCAATGAAGTCTAAGGCAAATTGCAATGGTGTTTAAGGTTTATAAGTTTGGTCTTTTTGTGAAAATAGAAACAACAAATATATTGTTTGTGTTTTCTGATTACGTGTTAAAACTCATTCTCTGCATGTCTTCTTCATTTATTTTCTTGCCCAATGTTAAACAACCAAAATACGACGACAAAAGCTGAGAGAATCCGCTTAAAAAACTCCATGACTCGACTAAAACGCGAATGAAATTTCAGTCGAGTTTACTGATCAGAACGACAAATTTTGTGTTAATTAAACGGAAACGTTCCTTACAGCATGTTTACTTATAATGTGCCCATTATCGAAAATACTTTTAATTAGTATTCCAACAAGAATGTTTTCTTCGTTCTACAATGCTTAGCGTGAGACGGAAAAAGCTGGTACAGTCGTAAATCGGATGCTTCAGGCGACCGAGCAAAGACGGCTCACTTTTGTATCAATTTGCCGGAGTTTATTCTGGTTTATTTCTTGAAAATTTTGGCTTTCCCCTACAAGCTGAAGACAGGTGCTTATAATTATTTCGCTGAGGAGGGTTCTCCAGCGTTCTGTTGCTGAACTGGCACTAATTTTTAACAACACTGGCCGGAGTGGAAGAAAAAATTAACAGAAAAGAGCTCTGTTGTTTGAGCATAACAATGATATGGCACGGCCTAGAAGTCTAAGTCTAAGACAATCGCACCTTCACGAAATTACGGAACTGATGGCTTCAATTCCTTCTGACTTAGTGAATTTTGCTTAAGTTCGCCAGTGATGCCGGAAAGCTTTCAACGCGGACTTGACGCACCCTATAAACACTCTAACCTGTCTTTCGTCATTATGATATTAAGGACTAAATAAATTGTCTCTGGACCAAATTTCAGAATACTTGCGGCTAAGAAAGGAAAGTTATTGTAATGTTCTTAGCTAACTGAAGTGATCGGATACTGGGCAACATACTGTACTTCTAAGCTGAGCTGTGTCAAGAAATTTGTCGAGATTCAGTGAGTGGGACCAGTGTCACTAAATTGCGAGAAAGATAAAAATTACAGCTCAAAACATTCAAAGAAGATACAGAAATCACACACATGGCGGCATATACAAAAGAAAGCTCGGATGGAGGAACTTGAAGAAGTAGATTAATTCGGATTGAAATTGCGATTTTTGAAAACTTAATTTTTCGAATACCGAGCAGAATTCGAGCAGAATAAGGGTGTCTGAGAAGAATTTTGAGCAGAATAAGCGAATAAGTGAGCACTGCCGGCAGGCAGAATAAGCCATTTTATGAGTAGAATTTATCCAAGCCTAACACACACGCGATCAAAATAGGTTAATATATGATTGTAGAGAATTGGACCTTTGATTAGAGGCCAGTGTGCCAGAGGCTATCATTGACTGGAGTACGGGTTATTTTGACAAAATTTTATTATTTGTTTATGCCAACTTAGAAGAACCGTTTCAGCAGGGAAAAGGGAGCAGAAAAAAACACTGCAGACCAAGAAAGTGTTACTTCCAGCACGGGTGTCTCCGTCCCAAAGATGAAGCCACCGTTTTCCCTCCACGACAAGAAAAGGTCCTTTTCAAACAGCCCCACTTTGGAGGACGTTTCCTAACGGCATGCCAACCGTTCAAAGAGGGTATTTTCAGCTCCCTTCAAGATAAATGGAAGCGATTATTTACTAGCCAGCACTCAGCTAAATATATGCAAAATCTACTGGAGTTTAAACCTACTAATGCATGGCGTCCGCATATAAGATCGTCGTTAACTCTTCAGGGATACCCAACGAAGGTTTCCTCCTAAATGCATTGAAAACACTTTTTAGGCTATCCAGAGTACTTTAAGATATCTAGAAACGCATTCTAAGCGAAGCTATAAAATTTATATCTGTTCGGTCATTCTAGGGGAACTTGATTCTTCTAGTGATTACATGCAGCTGAGCTCTTGAGTATTAATTTTCCCGAAATTTTAGATGCAATTTAAAGTTTTACCAAATGAGAATTTTCTGATTCCTCTCCCCATCACATCGGAATTTCGAATCCAAACAGTTTAGGCTTTCTTTTTCTACGAAAAATAGCCTTACCTGGGGAATGAAATTTATGTAAAAAATTAAACTTCAGAAAACCGTAAGGAATCTCTTAGTTAAGAGCTTGTAGAAATTCCTCAATGGTCGAAGAACATGTAGAAGATTCAAAACTCCTGCAAGAATTGCACTATAACTGAATTTTAAAGGTATATCGGCCCATCAATACCACTGGGTAAGGGCTGAGATGATAAGCAAACACGAGAGAGATCCGCAACCAATCCCACCCTATGTAACTTTAATTAAAACAAACAAACAGATACCTTGTAGCACTAAATGTTTCCGGGTTCTCGCCGAAAAAAAAAGTTTTCTTCGCTAAAGATACCGTTGTAAAATGAAGACTTTAAAGTGCTGCACTCATCCACGTTAAGCTACTTCCCTTGAAAATGATGTACTATCCAGATTTTTTTCAAACTTGCATTGGCACAAATGTCAGACACATATAGCACATTCAAAAACTGCAAGAAAAAGATGGGGTCACCGTGCGCGTGCTTGTTTTCGCCTTGCGTTCCCGTAATTCTGAGTGTTTTTTCCTTATTGCGCGCGAAATGTTCGAAACTTAAACAACCGTCGATAATTGTTATTTATAGCAAAAACCATGAATCTTACTAAAACCTTAAGCCCCTTAAGGGAATTAGATTAAAGTAAGGCGTTTTTATTTATAATTCAATGAATTACGGGTTTGGCATATGTGCATGTTAATTCACCTGTAATCTCAGAATGTCCATTGCATACAGTTTCTAGGCTGCTCGCAATTCATAACCACGTACACCCCATGCAAGGGAATCCAAGACAGTCTTGGATTCTGGATTCCACTTCGTAGATTCCGGATTTCCAGGTGGTGGATTTCAGTCTTTGTCTGTGGAACTTGGATTCTAGATTGCAATTGTTAGTGGGATTCCGGATTCCTTAAACTGTATTACGGATTCCAAAGCCCAGGATATGTGATTCCACGAGAAAATTTTCCCAGATTCTAGATCCCACAAGCAAAACTTTCTTGGATTCCGGAATCCGGATTCCCGTTGCATAAGGCGACCTCCAGCCTGTTTCCGGCGTTCAGATCATGTGTAGTGTGACTCGAGATCAGAGAGCGGGAAATAATAACTAAAAAGGAGGAACTAAGGGAACGGGAGAGCTCTCACTCCCTTCCCCATCCTCTCGCTGTTTTTCCTGCTCACATCTCTTTGGTTCCGTCTTAAATCTGAACGCCAGTGAAACAGTCTTTGACTCCTCTGTGGAAAAATTTGCGCGCACTGACGATCCCGCTGCGCCAGCTGGGTAGGCTACCACAGCAAGAACAACCAGTCTTTCACAATCGCCAAAAACCAGGGGCACCCAACGACCGTTTTTTTTTATGCATCCTGGAGTGCTTTAAAAGCAATATAAATGAATAATTCGCATCGCTAAAGAATTTTGATCTGTTCGGTCGTCCTAGGAGTGATTTGAACCTCTCGAATTTTTTAGGGCCGTTTTTCGTCTTTCCCGAAAATAATAGCCCACAGTGAAAGCTTTACGAAAACGTAAGATTACCTAACGAGCTTTTCCCCTAGCCGAAATTTTTAGGGGTCCTTTCAAATTTTGTCCGAAACTTTATCTATTGTGGGAATGTCTTCGAATTTTCTAGGGCGACGTAGCATGTATAGAAAATTCTAGGTTTATTAATAAGAATAATAATGATAATAAAATTAGGAGAACAAAGATTGTGTAATTGGTCTTATGAGGTCATATTTCTCTGAGAGGTGGAATAGAGTTAGGATAGGAACCGATACCATGAGTGATTGGCGAAAAACCGAAAGGGGATGCCCTCAAGGGTCTAACTTTGGTCCTTTAATGTGGAATATTTTCCAAAACGACCTAATGTATAACATACAAACTGATAAGTGCAGTGTAATGATGTATGCAGATGATCACCAAGCTTATACTCTCGGAGAAAGAATCGAAGACGTTGAGAGTATTTTGAACCATGAGGTGAAGGAAATTTCAAACTGGTATAAGGACAATCTACTCATGTGTAATCACGAAAAATTTCAGTCGATGAGTCTCGGGTCGAAGCATAAAAATAAACAGATGAAAATTGATGTAATGAACAATGATATATTGAGAGTCACTTTGAAATGAAATTATTGGGAGTGACCATTGACGAGAATTTGAATTTTAGTAGGCATATTGGAGAGGTATGTAAAAACGCATCTAGGAAGGTTGGAGTTTTGATGAGTCTTAGAAACATGTTAACAACATCAGCCAAACTTGACATTTTCATTTCTTTCATAATGCCTCAAGTTACATACTGTCATACAGGGTGGCATTTCTGTCGGGCGTCGGATAACAGAAAGATGGAGTGAGTACAAGAGCGAGCGTTAAGAGCCGTCTACTGCGATACGAGAAGTTCACACGATGAGCTCTTGAGAAAAGCTAAACTCACGACACTAGGCTGTCGACGATTGCAGGATATAGCCATAATTATGTATAACGCAAAGTACAATATATGCCCTCCGTACATAAAGGACATTTTTAAGCTCGATACAGTCGTAGACCTCACTATGTGCTCAGAAATTCTGGTGACTTCTTTATTCCTCGATACGACAAAACAACTTACGGGAGACATAGCCTAAGATATGTGGGCCCAGTAATATGGTCTAAATTAAGCAAGGATGTAAAAAACGCAGAGTCAATTTACAGCTTTAAAAAGAAAATTCGTAAGGTAGATCTTGAACAAGTAATCACAGCGGGCCGTAAAAACTGCTTTCTATGTTGTATGTACATAAACGACATTTTCTAGACAAAAAGGACACCTCTTAATCAATAAGTATTATTTTATATGATAAATTCGAATACGTTTTATCGACATTTTTTTATAGTATGTATATTTTTTCTAAATTTTATTCTTTGTAAATATTTTTTACATTAATTAGTTAGAGCTGATAGTATTTTAATTTAGTGTCCCCTATTAGAAGGCCTTACATGGCCAGCTAGAAGACCTGACACTGAAATAAAGCTTATCATCATCATTATCATCATCATCATCATCATCATCAAAATAAAAGGCATTTAAGTGATTTCAATGCCAGTTTCAAACGTCTTGTACCCTGCCAAACTCAATTCGCACGGCCCTTATTGAAAAAAAAAAAACACTTCGACCCCAATTTGTCCCTTGAGCAAAAAAACTAATTTCCATGAATGCCTTGAAAATAAATAATCAAATGAAAATATTCAAGAGAGGGTGATGAAAGGAAATCAATCAAGTGATATACAAATCATCAGTAAAATCGGTCAAGTGACTCAGCTTGCAGTAAATTACTGTATAAGGAAAGCTGTAGGGAGCTTAAGATACACCATTTCAGTCTCTACAGGCGCCGGTAAGCGAACTTCTTTGTCACGCAGTAGGTGTAGTAACCAATCCCCCGCCTAGTCCCAGTCCGCGTGTTTACGTATAAGTAATTCGACTTTCGCGCCGGTTATGCAAATCGTAAAGTATCTTGCTCGAGTTCGCTAGCTGTTACAACTACGTTACGTTCTTTTTCTTACTTCGTTCGCCGTATTCCCAAATCGTCAGGTAATGTCCTCTGTCTTCGTTTATCTCGTATTTCCTATGTTATCTGTATTCCCTACGTTATTTGTTCTAATTAGTCGTTCCGCTCTTAATGTATTATGTTTGTTACTTTATCCTAGAAACCACTGGCAACATCACGTAAATAAGGTTAAGAGTTCGAGTTGTTCCAGTTGAATTAAAACTCTTTTACGACTTATATTTTTGCTGGTGCGTTGGCTACAGTAGGCAATCATGATTATCAAGGAGTGCCGATAATAATGCTATCACCGTTATACCCAGTAGCCTTTCTGTTTCGCCCGTTAAGAAACAATCAACCAGTATTCTTTGCTGCGGGTACGGGTACCTGTACCGTACCCGTACCCGTACACGAAACAAGTGTACTTTACATGATCAAATAGACGCCCAGGGCGTTTATGTAATCTTACGGGTCCAAAAGAGGGCTTTCAATAGATACCAGGCGTTAAAAGAGAGAGGCGTTTATTTTCATTTTTGGAACCCCAAAACTAATGATGAGCGTTAACTTTGTAAACAGTGGAATATCCAGTCAATCAATTGATACATCTTGGCCGTCTAGAGATTCAGAGATCCATATTCGCTATTTCGATGTCAGAATCCTAGCTCAGGCTCGTTGTGTAGTCATCGTTAGTCTATCCTTACGTATACATTGATGCAATGAGAAAACCCATCAAGTAAGAGACAGTATATTAAATGATCTTGCTCCTTTTTACTTTTCCCTGGAATTTTGAAATAACTGTCATGGAGGTCGTCTATTAGATAAAGGGCGTTTTTTAGACGAGAGACGTTTTTCTGAGAGTGGGGAGCGGGGGGGGTCAATTATATAATTTACGGTATGTTAAGATCTCTTATATAAACGTACCGCACCACTGTTGCACCTGACAATTGCTAAAAATGTATGTGTTACCAAAAATTGTAAAAAAAAAACTGCAAATTACATACAGTCGAGCCACCTCAATAAAACACCTCTTTATCACGGACAATTTTCGAGCAAAATTCTCACAGTATTTCCTCTGAAAAGATAAAAAAGACTCCAAATATAAACGGACAAAGGACCAGAAAGGGGGCGATTACCAGAAAGTCAGGACTCAAACCGACTAGAACGATCATCTTGAAAATGAAATTTGCTTTTTGGGAGAGTTTTCACTAAACACCCAATGAAGGCTTCTCGAGTCTCTACCCATACTTTCTCTACCTATACTTTCTCATACTTTCGTCCCTCGCGCCTTCAGCACTCACGCAGTGGACTTGTGGCAAGTATAGTCTCTACCCAAGAGACAAAGGAGAGATAATTCATATAAACTAACCTCTCTATAACGGACATTGCGGTATCAGGTGATGACTCTTTGTAGTTCCAATACATGCACGGTTATATTTATTTATTGCACACTGTTTTTCTTTTATTCGTTTTCTTCCAATTTTCTTGTTTTTCTTCTACTTTTACTATTATAAGATTATGATTATGACTATTAGGATAATGAAAACGATTATGATTGTTTTCAACTTAAAACAAAATGCAAATCCAAAGGGAAAGCGTGCATACAGCTTTGTGCGTTGTTGATCGTTTCTCTTGAAACCTCAGTCCGTAGCTCAGGGCCCGGTTCCTCGAAAGATGGTTTTCACCAAGACAAAAAGTTTAAACCAGCATTAAGCCAAAGGTTTTCTTGTCTATGAACACGTAACTCGTGTTTAAAAAATACTGTTGAGCCTTTACTCGGAGGTACAGTAATAATAACTCAAAATGTAACTCTAAGCCATACGTTGGGAAGGTGAATACAAGCACGGAACAAAATTTTAATCCCGGATTACCGCTAATTGGTCTTTCAGCGCAGATATACAAAATAGAACGCCACTGATCATTATAGACTCATGCAGGTCATTTATCCAGGGAAAATACGCGTCTTAAATAACACGAGAACTGGATAGTGTCTTACATAAAACGCAAACAGCTCGTATAAATGGTTCACGTTTGGTTCAAGCCTTATTTCTTGGCACGGACTCATTTCTGTGTGAATTAATGCTGCCTATCCAACAAGGTGAGTGTTAAAATGACACCGGCCTACCACACAATCGCGTCTTAAATAACACGCGATTAGGAGGTAATCGGCTCCTAAAGCGGAGATTATCTGAGCACAGGCTGTACGAGCAGTACGAGCTTATAATAAATAAAATAAATCAATAACAATGATAATAATAACAATAATAATTGAGAGCGACAAGAGGAGCCCGCAATCCTAATCTCCAGTTTGTTATTACGCATCCGTCGCATGTATGTAGCCAGCATTCGTTTGAACTTCCACTAAGAATGAATGGAATGCACAAAACGCAATTGATCACGAGCGTCTCTACCTTCTAGCCCTCGTAATCTGATCACGCGTGTTTTGACCATCTGTCACGTGAAACTTACGCAAAGCACAGCGTTGGAGCAAAAGCGTTTTGACCTCCGATCGTTGTCGCCCGCACTCCCTAACCTTTGGTTATTACTAGTAATAATAAGAAACGCCTTAGCTAATGAGTAATGTCACTTTATACCGGCAGTGTGCGTCTTATGTAAGCGACGCATCTTATCCGAAACGCGTCGTATAAATGGCCTTCAGTGTTTCACTACTGTACAATAATCAATTAAGATACAGGTTATAAACAATTGTGGAACTACGTACTATTTGGTTGCTTAACACTAAGACTAACCTGGGCGCAACAGACGTTATTTGGGTCATCCAGGCGGATTTTGGTTTGCGACCACCAGAGCCCTTCTGAGCGACCTCAATAACGCTTGTTGCATGTTCAGGCGACATAAAACTATCAGCAGAGTCTTAAATGTGACGAATGGTGTTATCGTGGTGAGTTCTTTAAAACGGAAATCTCCATAGTAGTTGCTTTTTCCCTTCTGTGTCTGTATACAGGGCTCAATGTACGGATTAGGCTTCTACTGGTTTTATTTTCATTTCAGCGCGTTTGGCGGAGTAATGATAGCCTTTCCAGTGATACCAGTTTACACCGTTGGCATAAGAGGAGTGATTTCCATTAAGATAACGACCATTTAAGTTGGAGGCATGACAGCTACTGTACCACCAGGCTCCCTCAAATGCAATGGCACAGCTCCAGCCAGGATCTTGGTCATTGTCTTGATCTTTGGTGGAGAACGGCATATTATGATGCACTGTAAGAGAGTCACCAGCAGTTCCTAAAATGATAAACACAAATCTCATTTCTTACTGTAAATTTTTATAAATGGGTCAAAATAACCTTTGTTTAGACGTTTCGGCGGGAAAGTGAGAGAGTAGCACCACTCCAAATAAGTAATACGGGCATTTTTACCGTTAAAAATAGGGCATTTAACCTTAACTATGTTACAGTCTACTTATCACACTCTTTAATCTTTAGTTATTTTATCTCAAAATTGACCTAGCGTAATTTTTCCTTGTAAGTAAAGGTAAACGTGTGAAACTTTCTAGCCTACACAGTTGCTCCGAATATAACCTGAATAAAATGCAAAATAAAGTGTCTCTCGATTTCTAGAGCAGAGTCCCAGCCAAGTTACTGACTGGAGAGTTTTTTACTCCAGTCAGTTCCATTAGTCATCATCATTTCTATCATAATAGTTACACTTTAGACGGCTCACATATAGAGCGTTTCACAGGACGAAATAACGTGTTTCCGTATTTTGTAAACTCGACTGAAATACGGGAAGTTTCTTATATCCGTCACCTTTCCGTAACAAATCAAGCACTTTTTGTTTTTTGCCCTGTTCCTTTTAAAACGAGATCAATTCCATTTAGCAAATTTTATTCACACAAAAAGAAATGTCAGTAAGATTGGCCGATCGACTCAGAATAAATGGGGTTTGCACTAGCTAGCTTTTTCTCAGTCGTCACCTTGGTAGCACCAGTTGCCGGACCAACTCTTTTCAGCCACATGACCTCTAGTTGTATACCTCACCAACTCACAATTAATCCTCTTACTGATGTAGATTTTGATTATATTCGGTTGAGTTACCCCATGACATAATTGTAAGCAGTTTACCAGCTCACTTTGCATGGAGTAAGCTGGGAAAGCTATTCAAAAAAGGTAGCTGCAAAAGGCAAGACTTTTTGAGAATTTTGATTAAGTTTTATAGCAAAACGAGATCAGATTGAGTTCTCTTTGGGCAAAGATAAAGGCCACTGGCCTGCCGAACAACGAGCTAAGAAACCACATTATTTTACAGAGCCAGGATCGACTACTCCTTCGCCTTGTAGGCCTTTGTAAGTTTGGTTAAGATGTTTCGCACACTTTCTCGCTAACATAATAAGGCCGTCTTCTCCCGACACTTGACACTTCTGATATTTGCGTTGATCAGAGGCTTGGAATCGGGAGCTGCTAAAGGCTTGCAAGAGACCATGTATTGTCTCTTGAGCATGGTCAGCAGAAAAATACAAGTTACAGTATGTACCAAGTGCAATAACAAGTGCTGTGATAACAGGGGTTTGTCCATTGAAAAACCTCGTCTTTCATTGTCTAACGGAGCATGTATAAAACCATTGTTCGGGGTGCAGAAGGAAATCATTGGCAAAAGGTAATGTCCATTGTATGAATTTTTTCTTATTAAGTCCTTATTTGGCGATCAAAAAACCCAGACCAATTCGATATTTCACTGAATGTAATGTGTAGTTACAAAAAATGAGTCAGAACAAAATGAATCAATAGCTAGGCAACTCCCAGCCGAGAGTCAGCGGCGTTTTAAAAAAGTCGTATTGCGTACACTTAAGTACCGGAACAAATTGTTACGCCAAAAATGCAACGGAGTTTTTAAACGAGAGCAGGTCCTTCTCCTTAAAGCATTTTTTTGCCGGAAAACTGTCCCTGATCACCTCACAGCACTACTGATCCCGATCCCACAACTAAGGATCCCAGATCCCATATACCTTGAAATTCGCCTATATCTGTCAAACAAATAAAGCAAGTTGGAATAATCACGCGTGCTTATAGCAAGCTACTATGAACAAACTATTCTTACAACCCTAAGAATCGCGTTAAAACAATGCAATCGCTGAAACGTAGTAGATTGGTGAAACCAAGAAACGCCTGAGTTAAAGATCGGGTACAGGAATACCGAACAACAGTTGCCAGTTTTCCACAATAATTCTAAGTTTTTAAATTTTGAATAACTGGGACCGGTACCTCTCAAATAGTAACGTAAACGTTACCACTTTTTATGGTTTTCATCATTAATGTAGTACAGGAGTCCATCATAGGCTCCTGTGTAGTATTATGCTTACCAGCGTATTGTCCAAGACTTTCCAGCTTGTACTTGCTCTGTTCATCACCCACACCAAAGGAGTTGTATTCAGCGTAAGCTGTTTGGTTTTCGAAGTCTTCCAGGTCTACCCGAAGCCTTCTTTGTTCTTTTGTCAGTCGGTGAATCTTTTCTAGTCCGAGCCAAAATTCACCATTCAGATTTCCAAAGCCTCGTTTGTAGTCGTCCCAGCCGCGATAGAAATCTACCGAGCCGTCCAGTCTCTTTTGGAACACAGTCCATCCCCCACCGGCCGTTGTTTGGTCACAGTACACATTAAAGGCTCCAGCATTATCAGGGTTATGTAAATCAGCTTACCCCTGGCTATGATGAACTTTTGAGTCGTCACCTCCGTCGTATCGAAATTACCATCATCCCCACAATCATAACATCATCATCTGCGTCATCATCTATGTGATCTTTAATTTTTGTAGTCAAAATCATCAGTCATTAGAAATTTAATTGTAACCGTAAAGAATTATAATACACAAATCGTGGAGGGTTTTACCTGCCGTAAATTAAACGAAGACTGAGATCTACATTTTTATTAATATCATAAAAAACGTATGTGGTTAACTTTCGCAGACAGTCTAAACATTTATTGTACATTCTTTTGCCTCAGCGAGAACTTCACGAGAGGATAAGGTTATCATCAGTCTTGCCGTGGTCGAAACTCTTTATAGAAAAGACGTTTCGCTATGAATACGATTAATCCTGTTCCTGTTTAAACCTTTCCGTTATTCTTTCGCTGGAATTATGCAATAATTTTAATTCAAACGTAAACGAAAGGAAAAAGATACCGCTTTCGGAAGGAAAAAATATTCCGCGCGACCGGAAGTCCAAAAAGGCTCGAAAAAGAAAACCGAAAGTCGATAATAATAATAATGGGCACTTAATGGAAGTTCAACTGTATCTTTTTTTAGTGCCTTAAGTTTGAACTCTTTTCATCTTACTCCCAAAACTGTTCTCTTTTTGGTGTGCGACGTTATGTAATATATATATATTTTTTTGTAAGTTAGGCGACCGTCGTCGAACGTCCAATAATACAAACACATAATTATGTATAGCGCAAAAGTGGATATAAATCATCCACGTTTTTAAATTAAAGTGTAATTATGAAAATTCAAAGGCGGATTGCAGCCAATCCGAAAGGGAGATTTAGAATTTTAAGTAAATTATACGAAACTGCATATACCGCCAACACCGACATTTTTATCATTTTTATCATGAGTAAAGCTTGGAATTATCATAAATCAACCACTACGTGATGGTGGAAATGGTTCAAAATTCATCTTGACTTGACAACATAACAAAAGCAACAACAACAATCTTTTTATTGACTAGTGACACACTTTAATAGAGTTGCAATTATTACAAGAAATAAAGTTATAAACATTACAAATTTACAGATCATACCTTTGTCCCTCTATAAATCCAGTCCTTTCTTGGTTTGAGGTCTTCTGGGTGCTGCAAGTGATCTGAATTACTGAGTTCACAGGCCATCTTGTTGTTGATCTTTGGACCAATATTATATGAAACACATTCCCTCGCAAGGGCGCATTGGACTCGGCAGTCTAGGTCTAGTTCCACAGAATGATTTGGAAACACGTGTCCTTCAAGGTAAAACCCACGGACTGGTGTCAGAAATGTGATACGTCAGTTGTTTTGTCTACAGGTTCCTGAAACAGAAATTAATACAATTTGAGAGAGAATTTGATTGACTTTATTGCATTTCAATAACGGTTTGTATATTAATTAGTAATCACATGATTTTTCTCTTGTAATTTGCAAGAAATGCAGAGGACCTAGGGAGTGAAATTCTCAAAGACCGCAAATTGCGCTCGTCCTAGCAGGCCATTTACTTCCTGCCCAAAATTTGCCCGAGGTCAAGCGCGCACTTACTCACCAACTTTCCCGCACTTTTGGTGCCGGAAAAGTGACCAGTCACAAGTGTGGTGAAGCATAGCAAGCATAGCAACTTGCAACTTTGAAATTTGCTGCGTGACAAGTTGGGAGCGAAGGTGGAAATGAGGGCAACAACGCTTTTCAACTTGCAATGCTGACAATGTTGTTTTATAGCGAAAATGTTGCCCGTATTACTTGACCTTTCAACAGGCCAGTGTTAAAATTTTACTCGCGCTCATGTATAATCTTACTCCATCTTTGTAGTAAACCTGGAGATGCGTTTTCTTATTCAAAACTGTTCAGACCCCGCGGGTACTCAACAAAATTTTATACGTGAAGGCGCCTTCCGATATCCAACCCCTTACCCTTTTAAAGACCATTTTTGCCAGAGAGGGTACCCTATTTATATACCTTCTATTGACAAAATTGTACCCCTTTCACAAACCTAGTTTAGAACATTAATTTTGTCTCTCTTTTGACTTCTGTAAAATAATATATAGCGGAGTTTGGCCAGGGCTAAAAGCGAAGCTCTCGTTAATTTTTACAGTTTACTCAAACAAAATATAAAATCGTGTAATGCTAAGCGGAGACGGCAGCGAAAACGGCCAAAGTAAAACATAGCGCAGAATGCCTGGACATCATTAATTATTCATAGTCATCGAAGCGGCAAATTTGAGTGCGAGCTCGCTTTGAATAGCCCAGAATTGGAAGAGAAAAGGCCCAAATTGGTCAAGTAGGGCTAGTAAAACATGCTTTTCTGTTTTTCAGAAGTTGTAATCTTAACTTTCACGCACGGCTTTTTGGAAAAAAATGATGTTTCAACACTTTAAGCCTTAAACGAAGGAATATAAGGGAGTATAAAGACATGAGGGGTTGAGTTATCTACGAACGAACGTAAGGATGATTTTCTCAGAACCAAAATTTCTTGGATGTATAGATAACCAAATTTTCTTATCCATGGAACCCCGCTTCGCGCACGCGAGAACTCCGCTATGAATAAATTACTAAACGAGAACAGAAAATGCACCTGTTAGCTATTTTGGGCCTTTTTACCGTCCGAAGTGACAGATTTCCATCCATTTTCATATAATTCAACTATTAGTGAAATCAGGCCTAGGCTACGAATTGGGAGGTCCTTTAGGGCTGAGTCTCTCCGTATATAGGTCATTATTAATGGGAGTACCTCGGGCTTCAAACCTTTTCCGCCAGTATCCGCTAGCATTCTAACGGTAACCGAGCTTTCTCTTCAAATCTCGGTGACCGGGAAAACACTACAAGGGTGTAGCCTTTACAAGCTTCCCATTTAAAGACGACTTAAGTTTTATTCACTATCTGTTATAGATTTTAAAGAAAGTTGGCTTGTAACATAATTCAAGAATGATATTTCACCTCCAATTGTTTATTAAAATTTAATGCAGTGGTTGCTTTTCTAGTAAAGATTTTTAGAAAAAAGAAAACAAACAGTTTTGCTTGTTTTGGAAATTTTGTTCCAGTTTTATAACTCATATTTCGCCTAGATAACCGTCCGTTATGTGACGTACTTCAACACGATTATTTAAAGTTTCTCTCGTGATGGCAAAATCTCCGTTGAGTGTTAGTTGAATATCTACAGATTTTACCCAACTTAACCTAAGCCGGACTGAAATATTCGCGTTCGTTACATACTTAAGTTGTATATATGTAACTCAGGCTCACGGTTCAGGTGGCGGTTCAGTCGTCGGCGCTCCGGACAAAATCTTTCAATTTCAAGTTTCCTAGAGTTGCGACCCTTTAAGGTCTTTTGTGAATATAATAGCTGAAATAATTGCAAAGATGATCTTCGCAGCTAAAGACGCAAATGAAAAGGTTATATAACTGATGTTGGTCAAGAACGCCTGAAAATGAAAAATAGCTAAATCTGTTTGCCGGCCTCACCTTCAACGCGAGCAGTTGCAACGTAGTTTGGCCAAGCTCCCCAAACAGCAAAAACCAGCAAGAGCGCGAACATAGCTAAACGTCTTGCCATGATGAAGGGAATGACAGGGAATGAACCGCTCCCGAATGTGATCAGACAGTTATTACGGAAAAGCAGAAATGTTAGCAGGCTTAGTCATTTAATAGTTAAACATCTTGACGTCTTAATTAAATAGTTAATTATTTATTAGCACACTTTGTGTCTTCAAAATTGTTCAAGTCAGCTCCAACTGTAGGATTCCCTTAGAATAAATATGATAAATCTACAGATAAATGTAAGCTTCTCGCTTTTTATTCATTTCATTCTTTTTTCGATTTATTAATTTCATATATTTCACCGTTTAAGGTAGGTGATAGATTCTGAGCTCCTAATTCTTGATGAGATGGTGACTGGTTTCTCCAAGTTCTTTCTCATTTCCTTTCAAGTATAACTACCCTTTTTATGCACGGCAGTACTAACATGAATTTTCGTATTTTCGTAGTAGCGGGAAAATGTGATGTTCAGTTGCAATTTTTGAAAAGAGTAAATTATGGTTAAATTCAAGATCGATTTTCGGCTTTCAATGCTCAGTAAGAATGAATTAATATCAAATAATTCAGTAACGCCTGAGTTCACACAGAAAAAAAGATTAATGCTTTGCTCGTGGATTGATTCAAAAGGAGTTAAGTTATCTTTTCCTTCTGCTTTTCTTTAAATTAGTTTACCAACGCGGATAAGGTCGGTTGGATGATGAAATAACAGAACATTAATTTTACGGGTAGGGCTT